CCACCCCGGACACAGACCCGGGGAGCCAACCTCTCCTCCCTCATCCCCATTCCCCCCACCCCTGCTTCACAACCTGGAGCCCCCTCCCCTCCCCACACACCCTTCGGTCAACCGCTCCCTCCACATCAGACTACAAAATGTCCGCACCCTCTGTAACAAGGCCCTGGTCATCAACGATCTCATCCTTGATGAGAGCGTTGACATCATGGCCTTAACGGAAACCTGGCTCACCCCAGGCGACACCTTCCCCCTCACGGAGACCACACCACCCGGCTACACCTCCCACCACATCCCTCGCCCCAATCGCCGTGGCGGTGGTGTAGCCCTTATCTCAAGGCCACCACTTGCCCTATCCCCCTACTCCTCTGGCTCTTTCCCTTCTTTTGAACACCTCACCCTCTCCCACCCCTCCTTTCTCTCACTCAAAATCCTCATCCTCTATCGGCCCCCTAAAACCTCTCCCACCTTCATCTCCGATATTTCTACCCTACTAACATTTCTCTGCCTCTGCTCTGATCGCCTCATCATTCTGGGTGACTTCAAACTGCACTTCACCCCCTCCTGCTCCATCTCCTCGGACTTCTCCTCCCTGCTCTCCTCGCTCAACCTCTCCCTCCACATCAACTCCGCCACTCACAGTCACGGCCACCCACTCGATTTGGTGATCACCCTGGGCCTCAGTGTCTCGGATGTCACCATTACCGACAAGGACGTCTCCGATCACCATTTCATCTCCTTCACCACACTTTATCACCTCAAGGCTGGACTATGGGAACTCTCTCCTCGCCGGCCTTCCCGGCACCTCCCTCCACAAGCTGCAGATCATTCAGAACTCTGCAGCTCGTGTACTGTCCCGCACCAGGCTTCGGGACCACATCACTCTCACCCTCGCTCGCCTCCACTGGCTCCCCATCCCCCAGAGGATCGAATTCAAGATCCTCATCCTCACCTACAAGGCCATTCATGGCCTCGCTCCCTCCTACCTCTCCGACCTACTATCCCCCTACTTACCTGCCCGTATCCTCCGTTCCTCTTGCTCCGGTCTGCTCCACATCCCCCGCCCCAACCGCCCTACCATCGGTGGCCGAGCCTTCAACCTCTCAGCCCCAAGGCTCTGGAACTCTATCCCCCAGTGCCTTCGCTGCTTCCTCCCCTTCCTCCTTCAAGGCCGGTTTCAAGACCTTTCTCTTTGACCGTGCCTTCAGCTCCCCTCTCGACTCTCTACCCCCTCCTCGCTCCCTCCCTTCCCTCCCCTTACCCTGACCATTTCGCCCCTGCTCGGGTCCTGACCCAACTGTCCAGCACCTTGGGATGTCCTCCTGACATGAAAGGCGCTCTATAAATGAAATCTTGTTGTTGTTGTTTGGTTCGTGCCAGCACCTCTGCACCTCAGGCTCTGGCAACCTCAACCTCCATGGTTGCACACTTCAACTCACCAGCCAGTCAGGAACCTTGGTGTCTTGTTCGACTCTCAACTGTCTTTTCTTCTCCACATCTAAGCCATTACCCTCTCTGCCTTCGCTCACCTCCGTAACATCGCCCGACTCTGCCACTACCTCACCCCTCAGGCCGCTGAAACTCTTGTTCATGCCTTCATCACCTCCAGGCACAACTATGCAAATGCCCTGCTTGTCGGCGTTCCCAACTCCTCCCTCCACAGGCTGCAGATAATCCAGAACTCTGCAGCTCGTGTCCTCTCCCGCACCAAACTCCGTGACCCCATCTCCCTCCTCGCCCGACTCCATTGGTTCCCTATCCTTCAGAGGATCCAGTTCAAGATCCTGTTCTTCTCCTACAAAGCCCTCCATGGCCTCACCCCACCCTACCTCTGTGACCTCCTAACACCCTACTAACCCGCCCGTTCCCTCCGCTCAGCCGGCTCTGGCCTGCTCCACGTCCCCCGACCCACCCGCCCCACGATTAGCGGGAGAGCCTTCAGCCACTCTGCCCCCAAACTCTGGAATTCCATCCCCCAATCACTCTGCCTTGCCTCCCCCTTAGCCTCCTTCAAGTCCCACCTTGAAACCCTCCTCTTAGACCATGTAATCGGTCACCCCCCTTCCCATCCCCCTCCCTTCTCCCCCCACCCCAACTCCAACTCGGGTCTGAAATGCTTTACACTGTCCAGTGCCTTGGAATGTCCTCCCAACATGAAAGTCGCGATACAAATGTAATCTTGTTGTTGTTGTTACGTTATGTACTGTGAAGCGTTTACATTTTGTAATGCCTCCCAACATGAAAGGTGCTATATTAAATGAAAGGATTATCATTATTAAAGCTAAAGTCAAAGAGGTACGTTTTTGGAAAAGTTTTAAAAGCAGGAAGAGATATTCTAAACAAATACGTAAACACCTGTTGTCAAAGCTCCTCCAGATAAAATTGGTCACTCACTCCATAGCTGTTGGTTGGACATGGCTGTGAACAAATCAGTTACCTCATCCACCCACAAAATACACAGTCAACTCATTTTCCAGTGTATGCTGTGAAGCATTTTGAGATGCCTCGAAGATATGATAAGGTGCTATATCAAATGCAATGATTATTATTATTATCCTATAGTCCAGAGCTATAGTACAAAAGCAGCAAAATAGGTGCAGGTCAGGCAGCATCCATGGAGAGAGGAAAATGAGTTAACGTTTCAAGTCAATGACCTTTCGTCAGAACTGTGTCAAGCTTCTTCAGATATTTATCAGAAACCCTGAGGTGAAATTTACATTTTTTTTCCACCCAAAAAAAACCCCAAAGCACAAATTGTTGCATATGTAGATGGTATTCTTACACATTTTTTGTTAAAATATCCAAAACCTTTTTTTAAACCCCTTGCGATTTTGGTCCTGATCCAGGAAGCATTTTTTGTCTCCCCTCTAGTGATCTACCTAATTACAACAAATTCAGCTTATATAACATCTTTCATGTTGGGAGGATATCCCAAGGTGCTGGTTAATAAAACTAGTGAAATAAATAATAACAAAATAATAAACTTTGGATTTAATGTAGCACCTTTCACATTGAGGAAAGGTCAGAGGAGCTTCACAGGAATTCCAGCTTCAAAGGAATTACCATATAGTGTTAGTGACTGTGTACTTCAAAGGGAAACTCTGCAGACAATTTGAGCACAGGAGTATCCCACAAACAACTTTGAAGTGAATGACCAATTTTATTAGGAGAATTGTGAGCCAGGACATCAGGAGAAACTCCCCTCTTTTTTCAAATAGTGACGTGCAATCCTTCATGTCCACATTGGTTTAGCATCTCATCCGAACAACAGCATCTATGCAAAAGCAACACTCCCCCAGCAATGCTTTGACCTGTCGGCCTAGACAATATGAGTTCAATGTCCCAATAAGGGGCTTCGACCCACAACCTTCTGACTCAGAAGCAAGAGTGCTACTATCTGAGTCACCGAAACATATTTAATTAATCTGTTATCAATTGACACCATCTCAACTGAGGTGCTTGTTAAAACAAGAGTTGGAGCAGCAGTCACAACAAGCAGTGCTGGCACAGTGGAATGAGCCTGCTGTTTTCTGGCATTGTGCCTGTATTTCATTCATTTGCTGCCGGGCTATTCCTTAGTCTTACTGGAAATGAACATTCTTACACAATGCATAGTCTGTTTCTTCTTTATCTACATGTTTTTAAGAATCAAGAATCACTTTTCTGACTGTTATCTTTATTATTGATGTTTCAAAGATTGTTTTCATGATTCTGGAGGCATATATTTTCTTAAATTGTCATAAAGAAAAACTGCAGTGTCTTTCCTCTCTACAAGTCTGTTATAACCACTACACGTTGAATGCACTGCTTAACTGCTTATTAAAAATCCTTGATAGCTGAACTACTTATGGGGCAGTCATTCACCGTTGGTCAGACTGGTTTGTAGAGAATCAAGTTAAGTGTGTAACTTCCACATTCAGAAATTTGAATAAGATGTGCAGATGTGAGTTAATTGGGACAGTTTAATAGCTTGGAAATCTGAGGGTTTAACATTCAAATCTTTGTTCACAGTTTCCCCTTAACATCCTTTGTAACCTGCTCTACTCCTCACTGAGAAATGTGGAACATTGTAAAACTCAAGGGTAATCCACTTACATTGCATTCAGTGATTTCCATAAGGTTTTGACCCAGGACCTTATGAAGCCATCTGGAAGAAGCTGGAAGCTATGACATTCTTGGACAATTCTTAGATTTTATCTGGATGTGTATTCCGTGATGCAACTCACTGAGGTTATCCCTCTTGAGTTTATCCCTCTTGAAACTGAATAAGGCAAAATTGTCCTTTGTCAACAACCCAATTCAATGGACTTACCAGTGATGTATTGGGTGGCATGAGGAGAGATGGTGTATCTATTCTAAGCAAAAATATTTATTATTCTTCTATTTACAGATGAGATTGAGCTGCTGGCAGACTCACTTGGGGATTGCGTGCATTGCACTCCTATCTTCAATGGGCCACCAAGTGGGACATGATTGTGGGTGCCTCTAGGTGTGATATTATGGCTCTGCATTGCTCAAGAGGGGACCTTGAAGATTTCAATTGGATGAAAAGGGCATGCAATGTGCTGCAAATTATCAAATTGTGTTTACTTACAAAACAATTACAACTTGTGAAGCTTTGAGAGAATTTGACATGGCAAGGCACCATAAAATTAAACTTCTTTCTTCCCATTTTGGAGGGATGTTGGTTAACCAGCACATTTGGAATACAGGAATGTTGCTAAAGACAAGGCTTTATAAGTCACTACAAGATGAAAGGGATATTAATCCGCATCAGGAGGAGACAGAGCCCTGAAATGGTGCCAATGTGGAATGAATAATTCAATTAGTTTATACTGGCAAAGTTAAAAAGATTTTGACATACAGTACAAAAAAAAGCTTGTCATAAAATGTATGGCCTCATGTGGAATTTGCATCGGCTGAGGCTGGGATGCAGCCAAATGGGGTTGGGGATCACACTCACGTTGTACAGGATGGTGGAGCCTGAGGTGAGAAACAGCAGCACAGAGGCTGTCGGCTGCAGCAGGAGAATGGGAAGCCTGGACCTCCCCTAGTGAAATAATCAAGACAGCCTGCAGAAGGAAAGCCTGGAGATCATCATTGGAATGAGCCTAAAGATGGTATAAGAGGTGTTCCTGCAACCAGGAATCTGGAGAGGAACAGGTAAGAGAGCTGATGTCACTTACTATGGGTACCCTCGACATGGAGTTTACCTGATCTGTTGATGACGCACCTAATAAAATTGACATGTTTCTTCATCAACTATGGCTGGCAACTATGGCTGTTCTTCTGTGGCACCCCCATGCCTGCTACAATATTATAACCAAATAGATTTGGAAACAGTGAAAATGTGTACAGTTCAAGACTGCAAAGTATTAAAGTTACTCATTGCAAGAGAGAATGATTTTCTGAAGGCTGAGGGGCATTTTACAATTACATTTACATTTATAGACATTTAGGGCTCTATACAAGTGTAATGTGGTGTTGTTGATTGGCTCCCACGAGTGCCTCCACTCCTCAGGCGCTGACAGCATCACCATCCATGGTTGCACACTCCACCTTACTAAGCCAGTCCGGAACTTTAGCATCTTGTTTGACCCTCAACTATCCTTTCTACCGCATATCCGTGTCATGTCCCGCTCTGCCTTCCCCACCTCCGCAACATCGCCCGGCTCCGCCACTGTTTCACACCGCAGGCTGCTGAAACCCTCATACATACATTCATAACATCGAGGCTTGACTATACAAACGTCTTGCCTGTCAGCCTCCCCAACTCCTCCCTCCATAGGCTACAGATCATCCAGAAATCTGCAGCCCATGTCCTTTCCCGCACTAGGCTCCGTCCCTCTATCACCCCCATCCTCGCCCGACTCCACTGGCTTCCCATCACTCAGAGGATACAGTTCAAGCTCCTGGTCCTCACCTTCAAAGCCCTCCATGGTCTTGCTCCCCCCTACCTCTGCGACCTTCTGTTGTTGTTGTAATATTCACCAGAACAGGCAGAACCTCCGTGCAACATTTCATTCCAAATACAGAAATATACAACAAAATAACAATGTAGCACACCCTCAACATTGCACTGTAGTTTCAATCAAGGAAATGTGAGATCAAAGTCCTTATAAGAGGCCTTAGAACTCACAACCTTCTGATTCAGGGATGAGAGTGCTACAAAATGAATTTGGTTGACACCTTAAGAGGGGTTCAGCCTTTGTGATCAGTCACCATGGTAAGGTATTTATATATGCTGTTTTCCTATTACATAAAACAACAACAAGATTACATTTGTATAGCGTCTTTCATGTCAGGAGGACGTCCCAAGGCGCTGGACGATGTACCGCATTTCAGACCCGAGCTGGGGTCAGGGGAGGGGAAGGGAGGGGAGGGGAAGGTGGGTGGCCAATGGCATGGTCGAAGAGGAGGGTTTTGTGGTGGGATTTGAAGGAGGCTAAGGAGGGGGCGAGGCGGAGTGATTGGGGGATGGAATTCCAGAGGTTGGGGGCAGAGTGGCTGAAGGCTCTCCCACCAATGGTGGGGCGGGTGGGTTGGGGGATGTGGAGCAGGCCAGAGTCGGCTGAGCGGAGGGAACGGGTGGGTCGGTAGGGGTTTAGCAGGTCGCAGATTAAAACTTAATACACTGTGATTCAGCGCCACTTCCACTTGAATTTGGTAATTCAATTGTGGGAGCTGGTTGCTTAAAGCAAAACTGCCATCTCTGGAACAGTTCATTTTTAAATGGTAAAATCAAATTGCTAAATTTGTACATCTTGCGTCTATGAAGAACTTGCAGGGTTTTCATGCAGTTAAGATGCTATGCAAATAAAAGCATATCTTGGAGGCTTAGTTTCTATCAAAACTATTAGGCTGTAGCTTGAATAAGTTTTTTTATCTCATCATATCCCCTTGATGTTTTAATACTTTGTAACCGCTCCAAGTCTGCATGTTATCCTACATGTACGTTCTTGTTATCCTTCCATGCCCATTTCAAGCATCATAACTTTAAAACTAAAGAAAAAGAGAAGTTGCAAGATGACAGGTAGCACAGTAGTCAATGAACTGAAGAATTCAAAATATTACAAACTACTTATTTTGTCTGTGTTATATCAATTTTGTCTCTTTGCTCTTGTGTGTCTGTTAGCTGACTGAGATAGAACCCAACTGTAAACGAACTTTCAAACCTCACTGAGATATTCTGTATAAATAGCCATGCACCATTATTTGAAGAGGCATGACCTGCTATCCTTGCCAGACCTTGGTACATGTGGGGAGTCTGGTATTTTAAGAACTTTCATAAGTTTTTAAAAAAAGACTGTCTCAGGAGTAAAAGAGAAAATGATGGGAGGAAAGAGTTTCAGAGTTCGGACTGACATTGCAATTGCAAAAGCACTCTCTGGGAAATCAGCTCTGACAGTATCTTCTTTCGGATCAAAGTTGCTATAGGTTGACAAGAATTCTAATGTGATTTCTTCATAGAAAATCTACTTAAGAAATATGCAAATTTGTCTATGAAACATTGTCAATTTTGAGCAAGAAAATGGATTGTTTTGTTCTCAATCGTCTGAATAAGAGTAACTAAAGCAGTCTCATACCCTGTGCTTATGCACAAGGAGACGGCCTTGTTGTTATCAGTTTGTTAGTACATAGGGTCATGGTAATGGACTTTGGTTGGTATTACTTTACCATGTGTGACTTTCCTATCAATACAAATCAAATGAATCAAATCCAAATCCAAAGAAGCCTTTGTTTCAGGTCAATACTTTGCTAGGGTTCAATCAAAATGCTAAAGGTAGTTTAGCAGGTAAAATAATCATGCTTTTCTCCAAAAGATTTCTCAAGGCAGTTGCCAAATCAAACACACTCTCAGGTTCCTGTTGTACAACTTCCAGTATGTAGGATGCATGATGTAATTTTAGCTGTCAGATTTCAGGAGTCCCAGAACATCTGTTTCTGTTTGTAGTAAAAGTGAACCCAGTTCTTGTGCTCAGTATATTTATAGCTACCCATTTGCAGGTTACTGGACAAAAAGTAAAACCTCCCATCAGCTTTGAGTGATTACTGACTAGTATTTGTGGATTTATCTTTGAAGAAAGTTCTTATGGAACAGATCAGCTTTGATCATGTTTAATCTACTGCAGCTGACTCATAACACCATCTTGAAAATTCAAAAGCTGCTTGTAAGGCATGGCCTCAAAGGAAATTCATTCTTGTTTTTTTCCGAAATGTAAAAGGTTGTTTATATAAAGCAATAGGAGCATGAATGTGTTCTATACTTCTACATCTATAAAAGTGCTTATCCATGTTGCGACTACATTAGCCTGCTTGCAAAGCATATTAAAAATCTATTGTTTGTTTTAACCAACGTACTTTATTACAAAATAATTACATTTTTAGTTCCGTTATAACATTGTTGATTTTCCTGAGTATCTTGACTATTACAGTTGTCTCGCAGATTATCTTCTCAATTTCTAGGATATGAATGATGATCTCTGTATTGACTAGAGAATAATAAGAACAAGATTAATAATGTTTGCATTTGACATAGCACCTTTTAGTTCGGGAGGATGTTTCAAAACACTTCTCAGGATTCCCTGCAAAGTGTAGTGACTGTATATTCCGTAGGCAAATGTGGCAACCAATTATCCATGAAGTGAATAAGCAATCTAGTTTGGGGGATTATTGGCCAAAATGTTAGGAAAACTTTCTTCCCTTTCGAATAGTGCTATGGGATCTTTAACATCCATCAGAACTGGTAGATGGGACCTCAGTTTAACTTCTCATCTCCACCTCCAGCAATGGAGTATTCCACGAGCACTGCACTGGAGTGTCACCCTACGTTGTGAGTTCAATTTCCTGATGTGCAAATTGAACCCTCAACCTTCTGACTCAGAGGTGAGAATGCTACAAAATAAACCAGGATAGTCTCATAACAAGCAACATAAAGCAATATTTGTATGATCTTACGTCAACAGTCAATGGTAAGATTCATAGAGGATGGAAATTTCCATACTTGGGGATGAAAAGATAATCTCTCGTGCCTTGCACTGTTTTCTCAGACATGGCCAATGCTTCTACAATTAAAAGTATATATTTTTTGGATTTTAATATGTTTTCTTGCCCCTGAAAGATTTACATCATGTTAAAAATGGTGTGAGTCATTTGCTTACGAGTTGATAAGATATGGAAAGCACCTGCACTGCCAAGTCTGTGTGGGATTTCCTCCAGAACTAATAGGAAATCCCATGCAGAAGAATCCTCCTCCTTACAAAATTAAAAAACAACCTGAACATTTCCATGTCCTGCCAAGTACGCAAACATACTACATGCTGAAAATAAAATTGTTCCACTGTATGACCACAACTGACCTAAATATAAAGCTCTACATCTGCAGTATGTTGCATCTGCCTATCCTGAGTTCATTTCACAGAAGGATCCATTTAATACAGGTTTGTTCCTATTGTTACAAATTAATGCTGAGAATTTTGCAAGTGAACATTTTGAGACCTTTCAAGATAAGTTGCTTTAAAAATTTACATTCTTGATTTCACTGAAAGCATCTAACAGTAATCTTGCAATTGACATCCCTATACAGAAAGCTTTCTGGAAAATGCTATTAACACAATAAATTCAGCAGCTTGACTGGATCCAAAATTACAGATTAATCGTATTTTGACACTTTTAACAATAAAGAATAAAACAGTGTTTTAATGAATCCGTTATCTACTCAGTAATTACAACGAGCTGTATGCAATAACCATATTTTTCTGGAAACGTGGCTCTAAAATGAATAATGATATGAAGAGCATTTGGAGACTGCTTGTGTATCTTGGCTTATGTAAAAGGATTGTCAAATTAATAGCAACACAGGAGCAGACTGCAGTATCAAACTGCTTTTTTACCCCTAAATCCCAGTGATTGTTGGAGGGAAGCCTATTGTGGTGTTTTTTCTTATTTCAGCACAATTGATTTCCATGGTTCGATGGTTTGGTTAAGAGATACAGTATTTGTAGTGATAGGTGAGTGATTTAATGAATCTGGAGTATTGTTCACAGAGCACTAACACTAAACACAACATAGAGAAGCTATTACTGTCACTGTGGTCATTCACATTACCAGATTGTAATCACTACAATACTGGAGTTTTATCATCATCAGTATATTGGAAGCATGCGATCAAGGACAGTTAATAGACTGGTTTATTTTGTTTTTATCGGTGAGATGAGGAATTTGATCTGCACGGTTTCAAATAAAAAAATATACATTGTGAAAAAGGTGCACATGGCGGTCCTCATATGGTAATTATCCCACAAGAACTTCCCTTCCATTTTATTTGCCAGTTTGAAAACGTGTCTACATCTCGAAGTCTGCCTTGGGGTTCTGTGTATCTGCCAAGCTTTGACAGTGTGCCTCCTCAGAGGCAGTACAGCCACCAGGAGACCCCGTTTTTCAGAAATATTTGAGCCAAAAATGCAGATCATCTGGAACTCTGCAGCTCGGGTCCAATCTCGCTGCAGGCTCTGTGACCTTATCACTCCCACCCTGACCCGGCTCCACTTGTTCCCTATCTCCCAGAGGATAGAGTTCAAAATCCTCGTCTTCACCTTCAAAGCCCTCCACGACCTTGGTCCTTCCAACCTCTGTGACTTGCTGCCCCCATATCAACCTGTTCCGCTCCCTCTGGCCTGCTCCACGTCCCTGCCTAGCCCACTCCACCAACAGTGGTCAGGTTTTCAGCCTCTCTGCCCCCACCCTCTGGAACTCCATTCCACAGTCCCTTCATCTTGCTCCCTCCCTTGCCTCGTTCAAGGCACGCTTCAAGACCCTTCTCTTCAACTGTGTCTTCGGCCAGCCTCCTTTCCCTACTCTGCCTGCCCTCCACCCTACCTGATCCCAACCCACTGCTCTAATTCCCTAACTGTCAAGTGACTTGAGATTTCCTCCCAATGTGAAAGGCTCCACACAAATGTAATTTGTTTTTGTTGATTTCATCAACTTTGATTGGGATGGGATGTTCATGTGTATTGTTGATTTGTATCTTTGCATTTCTTTACTCATTCTACAGCTTGGTCTGTTCCAATAATATTGCTCAGCAGCTAAGACATTGAAACAATATACTCCTGTGGCTTTCTCTGTTAGAATTTTGGAAGAGCAAAAAATATACTTATAAACATTCTCCACGACCAGAATAAAACCCTTTTTGATTCAAATTAGAAGGAAAATGTGAACAGTTGTCCCAACCATAAGAAATGATATTAGTCAATAGTGCTGACCTAGTGAATGTGGAAAACAGGAGAGATGGAGGCTCCTATGAAGTTGAAACATGAATTATGAATTAGTTGGGTCAAATATACTCACTCATTCTAAACTCCATACCCCCATCACACTAGTCCTTCCCAGGTTCTACTGGCTCCCTATCACAGAACAGATCAACTTCAAGATCCACACATAGTCTACAAGTCACTTCATACCTCCGATCTGCTTACTTCCCACTTCCCTCATCTGGCTCCGGGCTCCTGCTTGTCCCTGTCCCCTCCACTCCAACATTGGTGGCTGTGCTTTCAGCCACTACAACCTGAAACTATGGAACTCTCTCCCTCAATCCCTCCATCTTACCCCCTCCTTCCCCATTTTTAGATCATGCCTACCTCTTCAACCGTGCTTGTGGTAATCTCTCCCCGGCTCGGTTTCAGGCTCCACCAATGACAACAACAACTTGCATTTATATAGCTCCCTCCACGCAGGATAGAGTCTCAGAGCGTTTAAACCTTGACTATTCCAAATCAATAATGCCAATGTAAGTCCTCCAAAACGCTATCCCACATGAAGGGCACTATACAAATGCAAGTTGTTGTTGCAGTTGACCTTAGAACCTTTTGGGTTTGGAATGGGAAAATCAGCCAGGGTTCCTGCTCCAAATTGATCTTAGACAAACTGCAATATTCTTGGAAATTGTTCAATGACCTGATCCCTTAAAACCTAAACATTAGTCAAAGCCCATTGGCTCAAAAACAAAGTTGGAATCCTATCATTTGAATCATAAATTATGTTGATATTTCTATCTTAAAGTTTAAATTTGGTTATGTTGCCTAACAGTTCATTAGATTGTTATGCACAAAATGTTTTAATAATTTATCATCCCATATGAAAAATGTTTAATTCGGCTTCAGATAGCAATGTATTGCTCATAATTTCTAACATTTCTGATGCAAAGCTTAATTACTCAACCATGTATTTGATCAAATCTCTTTGTTATTACAGAGTGACATTTGATTGTTATCATTGGAGGCGTTTCCGAGCTTACTTTCCTTCCCAGACTTTTTTCGCACTTTGCAAATAATGCAGATTTAAATGATAAAAACAGAAGTCTCAATTTACATTTACAATCTGTTTTGCATGTTTTCAATATCCCAAATTAAACCCTCCCCTCCCAAGGTTGAGATCATTTCAGTATTCTACTATGATCTGCATGATTCATAGGAAACTAAGGAAAGAGTATCATTTTTTTAATCAAGTCCACTGTGCTGCCATGAGCAGATTTTTTTTCTTTATTCACTAAAATGAATACAATATATGGGCTCCTTACTCACATATGCTCTAGTCATAGAATAACATGTGAAATAAATGTTTACAACACAGAAAAAATCATTCTTCTGTACAAATGGTCACTGTTTCTGTGGTTGTTTAACTTTCCCCACTGAAGCTCTCTGATCTTGTCACATTCCCTGCTCTTTACCTTACCCCTTAATATTTTTCTTCTCTTTTTCATGCCCCCATCACAGCATCAAGCTGCTTTTTAAATAAGTCCAATGTCCTGTTCTCAACCACCTTTCCTAGCAACCTGTTCCAGTTGTTTATCCATATCTATGTATTTGTGTTTGTTTGTTTCCCTGCTCCTCCAATTCATAAATTTTTTATCAATTGAGTATATTTTCTAACTTTGTCCTTCCTCTCAAAATACATTACTTCCCATTTCTCTGCATTGAATTCCATTTATTGCCACATAACAATTTCAGGCATTCTCTCCTGAACACACTTCTACCAAGGTAAATTATCAACAGGTGTCTTTCAATAACTTGCCTAAGTTAGTGATTATTTACATGTGAGCATTTATGGGGATAGCAGTAATCTAATCAGCCACATGGTGCCTCACAGTTAAGTGTAACCTTATCACCATGTACATTCAACTCATGTTGTGTGGGTTTGAACCTATAATCTTCTGACACAGAGGCAAAATTGCTACCTTCTGAGCCAAGTTGATTGTCTTGTAGCATTTAAAATAGAATTGAATATCTTAAAAAGTTCTTGGAATAAAAGGCAGTATAACCAGAGAATGAAATAGATTGATGATTATAATGGCAAATTGAATTATAATCTTTGCATTCAATATGGTGCCTGATCACATTGAAAAGTGGCTTCTTTGTAATTAAAGTGAAACTCTAATAACTCACCCCTAGGATAAGTTGACAACTCCACATAACTCATGACTCACTCAATATCCTGTCTATTTCCCATGAGAATTTGGTGCCAGGATTTCTAACGGTAGATTTCGCCCACAATATATACAGTCAATTCACTTTACAGCATATTCTGTAAAGTGCTTTGAGACATCTCGAAGACGCGATGAGGCCCGATATCAAATGCAAGGATCATTATTATTATTACCTATATTGGACTGATGAACAACAATCATAATAAGAATGTTTCACTCTAGTTAAATGAATAATTAATTTTCTTTCTAAAGTATTCTGATCAACTTATGAATGTAGTACAATTATTTTCCCTTAAGCTCATCCACTAGGGAGGCATGAAACAAAAGTTTATTTTCGTTATGTGTGTTCACACCTCTATCTTTTCTCTGTCTGGGAGATGTGGCTCTGTAGGAATTCAAGTAACTCAAGAGCAAAGGAATAAAGTCAATAACAAGGCACACAACTCAGTAATCAAGCATATAACTCAGTCACAAAACACAGAACCCAGTAACTGAATACTTAACTCAATGATACTAATCCTTTAATTTATTATAGCACCTTATCACATCGTTGAGACATCTCAAAGTGCTTCACAGATATTACTGTAAAGTGAATTGACTGTGTGTGAAACATGGGAGCCAATCGTGCACAGCAGTGATGACAAACAGTCATGGATTGAGTGACCAAATGTTTTGTTAAGGGATTATTACCCCAGGAAGAGTTATCTGCCAACCAACTAACAACCAGGTTCCTATTTATTGCTAGGTAAACAAAGGCGTGTGGAGTAAGGAAATTTGCCTAACATTTTGCCCTGCCTGGGAATTGAAGCTGGGTCCTCTCACTTGCGAGGTAAGTGCTCTAACCGATATACTACAGGACTCTACGAAAAAAACATGTAACTCTGAAACAAAACCCCAAATTGTTGTGTTTTTGATATAATCTAACATCTAATGACTTTACGAGTCCCAAAAGTATATTCTAAACAACTTCCCCAAAGATCAGTTTCTTCCCCTCCCTATTGTACACCATGAATTCCTGCTCCATGCTTATTTTAACACAGCGCTGCAATATACACAAGGGAGCTGTGCCATTGTTTATGTAATCTCTTATGATTTATTTTCCACTTCTGTTTCATTTCAATGAGAACTAAAGAAACAATAAACCCTAATCTGCAACTTGTCTGAACCAAATATCAGTTCAGTTTTCACAACATAACTCCCTTCCCGTGGAAGCATCACCCACCATATGTATTTAGGGAATGAAGTGATTTCAGGATTCCGACCAGTTGATGTCTGTACTTCAGTTTAGAAAGAGAACCATTATGTAAGAAAAATCCCATTGAATGCATTTTCCAGTTAGATAAATGTATGCAAAATTGGGATGTCAATCAGTCACATGGGTTTCAAAAGCAGCGTGTAGGAAACAGGAAACTTTTCATTCATTTTAGAACTGGTTGAAAAAAACAAACCTTAAAATGTGGTAAGTGTGTGAGAAGCTGCAGCCCTGTTCTCAATGAAAGATTGAACAGAAGACCCTTGTGCAGTCTTGAGTTCCGTGCTGTGAATCAAATAATATTGTCTCATCTCAGTGCAAATTTATGACCATTTAGTGTTATTTCTAAGGCTCTTTGAAGAGCAATACATGATGAGAATTATGCGTGGTTTGGATTTACAAAGGTTACCCTTCTACGCCTGCCAGCTTGTAAAACACGTTTGGCTTCCTGGAACACAAGCTGCGACCAAGAAACTTTCATCTGTAGACAGCAACCCATCAGGGTTAAACAGCAGAGAGGGGTCAAATATTTGGAGTTCTACTATGTTTGGGATTTGAAAGCATTCATCCAAAATTCTCAATGGATTAAACAGTGGAGTGATGCTGGGAGGTGGCGAGGGGGGCTGTCTCCTTGGGATTGTGCTGCCTCCAAAGTATAACTGGCAATGGAATATTGGATTCAAGTTAATCCTCTGTGTTTGTCTTGTTAATTCAGTTCTTGAGACAGCCATGTCCACAGTACTCCAGAGTATTGCACTTTACAGACACTATACTTTACAGTAAATCCTGTGAAGCACTTTGAGATGTCCTCCTAATGTGAAAAGGAAAGACGCTATATCAAATGCAAGGATTAATATTATTATTTTCTTCCTCCCTACATATCCACTATTGAAAACTAACATTATGGGACCTTTCCATGTATATGGAAATAATTCTTAGAAAGAGACCATTTACATCAAACCCACCTCTCCTTTCATGTCAGGAAGACCACTCAAAAAAGCGCTTCGCAGGATTTACTGTAAAGTGTAGCAACTGTGTATTTTGTAGGCAGTTTTAATTTGTTATACTCTCTGACTGTTGATCACTATTTATTTATTCATATAATAAAGATGAAAAAAGAAGTTTCATTTTTATAGCGCCTTATATATAAACATGTTTCTAAGTGATTTAAATATTGTTTTATTCCACACATTAAGTATTATCGAATATGTTTTATGTAAGCAAGCATGACACACAGCAACAACAAACCATTTACACAGACCAAGACCCACAAATAGCAATGAAGTAAACAACCATTAACAATAATAAACCTTTTATCTGATATAGCACCTTATAATGTCATTGGGATCTCTCGAAGCACTTCACAGAATATACTGTAAAAGTAGATTTTTTAAAAGTATTTATTTATTAAAATTAAAAATTAATTAAAATTAAATTAAAATTAAAATTAAAATTAAAAATTAATTATTTATTTATTAAAACTGTATGTTTGTTGGGTGAAACGTGGCTGCCAATTGTGCACAGTTGTGTCCCACAAACAGCCATGGATTGAATGACCAATTTATTATTATTATTTTTTGGAGGGATTATAATCCCTGGAAAGTGATCCGTCAATTGACTAACGACCAGGTTCTTACTTGCTGCTAGGTAAACAGAAACTTGTGGAGTAATGAAACTCGCCTAAGGTTTGCCCTGCCCAGGAATTGAACTGGGGTCCTCTAAACAATATGCTACAGGACTCCATATAATCATGTAATCATGTAATATAACATTAATATTAAGTATTTGACTATTCAGTTGTGAATGCTTTGCATCATTATGTACATCATGATACATCCACACAGAGAAACCTTGCAGTAACAATTAAAATGAAAGTAAGTGCCTATTGGATATGTGATTGTTGCTCAGATAAATTACTATGAATCGTGTGAACTGCCTCGAGTGAACTCAGGGAGGACCAGGGTTGCAACAGAGCATCCACAGAAAACACAAGATGCAATCAAATCATTTTCACAAAAACAAAATTCCAAAACACATTCTGCACAATCTTGTGCAGAAAAATCATATTGTGGCCAATTTAATTCCCCGGAGGAAATAGCTGTAAGCTAATGCTGTCTCTTGGAAGAGCTTGTGAGCTGAGCAGTTTCAAAATCCAGTCCGTAGTGAATTTAAACCAAACATCATTAACTTAGCATAAGTTTTATGAACATTTCAATAAGTCATTCAGTTTTTCTTTTTCTGGACAGAAACATTACAAGCTTTCAGGGATAGAGTTTTCACATCATCAACAATATCCAAACATCAGCTTTAAAGCCTCAAGGCTCTTTGCAGCGCACAATAAAAAACACTGATATTGATCCTTACATTTGACTTGGTACGTTTCACATCAGGAGCTCATCGCAAAACACTTCACACGAGATGCTAGTGAATGTATATTTGTAGACAAACATAACAGCAATGTCCCACAAACAGCCATAATGTGAATGACCATTTTTTAATTTGGGGGATTGTTGGTCAGGACACCAAGAGTAATTTCCTTCACTTTAGGATTATTCTCCATGGAGCAGGAAAGGTTAAGAGGAGACTTAATAGAAGTTTTCAAAATGATGAAGAATTTGATAGGGTGAACAAGGAGAAACTACTTCCACTAGTGAGTGGGTTGGTAACCCAAGGACAATGATTTAAAATAGTTGTTAAAAGAAACAGAGGGGAGGTGAGGAGAAATGTTTTCACGCAGCAAGTTGTTTGGATCTGGAACGCATTACCTGAAAGGATGGTGGAAGCCGATTCGATAGAAGTAGATCATTATTTGGGGAGGACAAATTTGCAGGGTTATGGGGACAGAGCTATTTACACAAGCGCATTGTGGTTATTCTTTGCTTTTTGTTACATTTACTGGCTTTTGGCAGAGATTATCTGCTTGTTAATAAATTTAGCAATCTTTGGCTGTGAATGCTTGTATTTAAACTGTCATTTTGATAGTCCTGGCTCTATTGTCAGCCAGATTTCTATTGTTTCCCAGATTTATTTTAGCTGTCCTAGCTTTTTGTACCCCGTCAAAGATTGGTAAATTTAACGATCAGCATAAAATAACTCCCACTATATCTCTAAGGACACAATCTACTTGCTTTATTTGGATACAAAATAAAGCAGATTCAACATGAAGCACGTTAATAAATGTCTAATACATATCAATATTATCTTTGCTTTATGAGGCAAACCAATGTAAAGTGCCTTTTTTAGAAATAATCTCTGGCAATCTGCCACAAACAGTAAACTAAAAAGCCCCTGTTGTCCATCTTTGACTTTCAAATATTTATTGAACTTTTCTTATATTTTTTTTAAAAGCTAAAAAGTGCTTGAAGAATTGAAAATGGATGATTCCTGCCTTCTATATCAAATAGAAGGATTATTTTAATAGAGCTAAGGTTACATGTAAATAAATTAAAGTGAAATACACCATACCCATTGAGGCATAATTGAAATTGCCAAAAATCCAGGTTCCACTGTACTGAATGGTTATTTAATAAAAAAAGATGCACCACCAATGTTATATATAATAAACCATACAGCATTGGTTCCAGAGAAATGGCATGAACCTGAAGGTTTCAGATGGTATGAATTACAATTTGTTAAGCAATATTTTATCAATGAATGAACTAATTCAGAACGGGATCCTGCTTCAGCGATTGTTATACGTTAAAACTGATCAAGAAAGTTAGGATCTCCAGAATATAATAATAATAATAATAATCCTTGCATTTGATATAGCGCTTTTCACGTCGGGAGGACGTCCCAAAGCGCTTCACGGAACACACTGTAAAGTGAATTGACTGTATATTTGTGGGCAAACGCGGCAGCAATGTCCCACAAACAGTCGTTGATTGAAAATGATCAATTTTTTTTTATTATTGTTTTTGGTTTTGGAGGGATTATTATTATGTGTGTGGAGTAAGGAAACTTGACCAAGGTTTCTCCCTGCCTGGAATTGAACTCAGGTCTCTCGCTTGAAAAGGCTCCATTATTATTGTTGTGTATATATATATATATACACACACACATATATATATATATATAATATCGAAAACAAAAATAGAAGTTGCTGGGAACACTCATCAGGTCAGGCAGCATCTATGGAGAAAGGAAAGTGAGTCAACGTTTCAGGTCCATGACCATTCATCAGAGCTGGGGCATGTTGGGAGGGAGAGGCTTTTTAAGGGCTAACAGAGAGGGGGGAGGCAGGGCAAAGAAGACAAGGAGAAAAATGGGGCAGAGGACAGGAGATGATAGGTTAAAGGACATACCTTAACCCTAACCCTAGTGCTGAGTATTCCCAGCGACTTCTGTTTTTGTTTTTTAGATTTCCAGCATCGGCTGTATTTTGTGTTTTGCATATACATACTGAACCCTGAGACTTTGCCAGGAGTTTACGTCAAATAATAATCCTTTAATCCTTGTATTTGATGTAGCACCTTATCATGTCATTGAGATGTCTCAAAATGTTCACAGGATTTTACTATTAGGTATAGTGACTGCCTAGGCAAACATGGTAGTTAATTTGTACAGAACATTGTCCC